TCAATGCACCTTGAAAATATATCTGTTAAAACAACAAGTTATTAAAATTAATTACAAAATAATGGAAAGTGTGTAACGACTTCGTTTCAGTATGAAAAAGAACAATAATTATTTATTTATCATACTGTACTTATGAATAGAAATTTCTCCACGGAGAAAATTTATTATTTTACTAAATATTCCTTGTCAAAGAGCACGAACAAACATATTCCATAATAGATTTTCATTTTACTACAAGAAAATTGCTGCAATGAATCATCTTTTAATCAAAGTTAAAAAATCAATCTAATCTAATTTAATCTATTAATAACGATATAAAGGAATATTGTGCGATCTATACAATCTCTTGTGATTTTAAACTCTGATTTAAACATTCAACATAACTTTTACCAATAAAATAATTTCCAAGTAAAAATTACATATAATTCAACTGATAATATACATATAAAAAAATATAAAATCTAAATTATTTTTAATTAATTAAAATTTAATTTTTATTAGCATTAATAATAAATCTTATATGATATATAATTAAGATATCTTTCAAAATGACAAACTAATTTTATATTGGGAAAATTCAAAAATAATAAAAAATTCATATATTTATAGGTAATCGTTAAGAATTGATTTTTGGAGAATATGATTAAAGCACAAACATCATTCAACGTTAAATAGTTGATGAGAAGATATTAAAGAAAATCGAATTCGCTGAATAAAGATACGTGAAAGTTGTACATGAAATCAATCGATGAACGTATTGATAAAATAGAAATATATGGGACAGACTAATAATTTTAATCATCTTTATTATCTTAATTATTTTTAAAAATGTAAAAAAATTTATTAGAAGTTATAAAATACGGAATTATGATATATTAAAAATAAATATATCAATAGAAATAATATTTGAAAATCATTTTGAAATTTTCTTTAAATGACATGCTGTATTTTTATTTTTAATAGAATAGCAAATATTTAAGTAATTTTAACTATCTTTATACTATCTACTATTTACTATTTATACTAATTTTAACTATCTATATACTATCTATATACTATTTATGTACATTTTGAAATCTTTTCACAAAGTAATTGATTGACTCTTTGTACAAGATAAAATATACATATATATATATATATATATATATATATGTATATATACTGCGATCCAAAACCTTAGTTACAACCGCATAAAATACGGCTTAGCTTTAATTCAATCGCTATTCAAAAACATAGAATGTTATTAAGTATCAATCGGTGCCGCTACTTAATACTTTAATTTAAGATTTATTAAGATCATGCTATATCATGCTATATATAAAGGTTCATATATACTATACTGTATTGTATATATACTGTATATTTTATGTTTATAAAAAATGAAATTCAATTATTAAAACAATACATTATATTTATCAGAAAAAAATTAACGTTTTATTATATTATATCATTAATCAAAAATGAATAAGAAACATTTTAATATTATTATATATATGTGATAAGTTAAGAGAAATAATTATTACAAAATATTTTTAATAATAATCATATAAAACATATTGTACGCTACACAAAAGAATAAATTTATAAATAAATTCAATTTCCCTAACATTGAAAACTTAATTTGTTAAACATTATTAACCATATTAAATTGAACTCATAATTATTCATTTTTTTATTTATTATAACTTTTTAAAAAGTATTTATTCCAATTTGCAATAATAATCTGGTAATAATCAAAGTTTCTTTTTTAGTTTTTAAAGTTTTTAGTTATTTAAAGATATTTGAATAAAATATCCATGATTTAATATTTAAAAATTTAAATATTTTTAGCAAATTTATGTTTAAATGATATACATGGTAAATAATGAATAAATATATGAATTATAAATGAATGTGCTTAAATAATTAAGACTTGCAAAATCTTAGAAACAAAAAATCATTAGTAAAATAATTTACCAATTCAGATTGTCAAAATATATAGCATATAAAATAGTCTATTAAAAGAAATAAATAACAACGTAAAAAATATTTAAGAAAAAAAGAATATATTATTTGTGACAAAATTTATGATACATAATATGTAATAATATATAAATATTAAAATCTTTTATACATTCAAAAAAAAGGAAAAAACATTAAACAGAATAAAGCTTCATCTTAAATTAAAATTATCATTTACACAAATATTTTATATTTCTCTTCCATGTGAGAAGATATTTACAAGATAAAAAAATTTTGATCCTTAATAATGATGTAAATATATAATCAGATAATATAAACAATTTGTATAAAGAACATCTTCTTAAAGAATTATTTTTTCTAATGATTTTCTACAAGAGAAAAAACATAAATATTATTCTTAATTATATTTTTATTCACTAAACATAATATATTTTTGTTATATTATTATAATCATATATTGGTTTATAAGACAAAATAATATAAGTTGGTTTATCGAATGGAAAGTTTCACAATTGATTTATGAAAATGAAATGCGTAAAAAAAAGATATAGAGAATTTATTTTTATGATATAACGTTGGTTATTCTGTACCTAACCTAATGCTATACATAGTACGATATCTTGCAACCAAGAAATTAGGTTAGGACTGAAAAATTGTTATTGCGTTTCAGAATTTATTTGTAATTGTTATACATAATACACATTTACATTTTACATAATAGATAATATTATATCAACCAAATATTAAAATGTTACGAATTGGTTTGAAAACTATACGCACTGCTATAGGAAGCAGAGCTTTTGCAAATGCACCGGCTCAAGAACAAGCAATTTCAACAACTTTCAAAGTTCAAGATCCAAAAGACTTTAATAATCGTGTTAAAAATTCTAAAGTGCCAGTGATCGTTGATTTTTTCGCAACGTATGTATATACTTTAATTATCAAATGATCACTTTAAATACATTATGAATAATTTATCTTCTAGATGGTGCAATCCTTGTCGCATGCTTACTCCTCGCATAGAATCTGTAATTGCGGAAAAACAAGGAAAAGTTTTATTGGCAAAAGTTGATATTGATGAGAATAGTGATCTTGCATTGGATTATGAGGTTATTTTTTATTTTTAATTAAAATTATTATTTACTTTAAATTTTTTATTTTAAAACAATAATATAAAAAAAAGTCAATTTTTTATAGGTTGGATCTGTTCCAGTCCTAATTGCAATGAAAGATGGAAAGGTTTTAGATAGAATTGTTGGTCTTCAGGATGTAGATAAACTTAAACAATTTGTAGATAAGTATTCAGAATAATGTAATCTATTTTAATTGTAATTTTTTTATGAAATGACTTGTAGTTATTGGGGTATTTGTATAATATTATATAGTAAAAAATGTACAATGCAATATATAAGTTTTTAATTATAACATATATCTCTTATTTTTATAGACTTCATATACATAGGAAATTGTTAAATAAATTATTTTTCATGTAATAATCAGATAAATTTAATTATTTAAATATTTACAAAAATTTAATACATTTATTTCATTAATAAAAAAACGATATCGAATAATATATAAAAAAAATGTTCAATTTCAATAAAAATTATCAAATAGTTGATGATTTTTAAATACAACTTTGAACTAATTATGTTTCAGTAGGCAAAGCTTGTAGAAGTCTTCTTGCTCTTTGATAAACAACAGATTCCACCTCATTTTTGTTTTCTTCATTTTCTTCTACTTTCCTTATAACATCCATACCTTTTTTTAAAAGTTGTTCTCTAGCCATACCTTTACATCCTTCAAAATATTCTAAAACTGTTGGGAAAATGTCATTTGGTATAGAAATTTCATCTAACAAATTCTCAATTAACCAAATTTGTCTTAATTTTTCAAATTTCCATTCAGTTCTTGCATATTTCCACTGTAAATAAAGATAAAAGAAATATATAATATTTTATTAAAAATATTAATTATAATTATCTTAAAAATAACATCATTGAAAAATATAAATACTTTTGAAACATAATTAAGTCCTTTTTTCATTGCTTCTGTTTTACTGGCCATTCTTTTTTCATTCTCTTTTTTCTCAGCTTTTTCTCTTTTCATCTGTCTCTTAGAAGATTGTTTTGGAGTTTTTACATTACATTTATGAAGTTCTTCTATGTTATTTATATCATTTATTACATGTATACTATGAACAAAAATACTTTTAATTTAATATTCAAAACAATTAAAATAATAATGTAAATGTGAAATCATTTACTTTGCTTTCTTCTTTGGTGGTATTATCTTATTATTTGTTTCTTCTTCATCTTGATTCTCTTTCATTTTAATAGAATTATCCTTTTCTGTTTCAATTACTTTTGTTTCTTTAATTAGTTCATTATTAATATTATTAATAGTATTTGATCTTTTTCTTTTTCCCTTTTGTTTTTTATGTTTTACTGTCTGATTATTCATTTCTTCCTTTTGGTTAGTATCATATTCTGAGATATCAATATTATTTGTTTCAGTTGTAATTTCTGTAAATAATGAAATAAAAATTAATGAATTTTAAAAAAAAATTTTGAATTAAATTTTTTATCATAATCATACATGTAAAATTATAAAACTATGAACTTTTAAATAAGATTTATTAATTATTTACTTTCTGATTTATTTATTTTCTTCGTTCGTTTTTGCAATTTTGAACTCTTAACCTCAAATTTTGATGTACCATCGATCCCCATGATATTATATAAATCAATAATATGTTTTATTTGTGAATATAATTCTAAACTTATGATACTGCAACATTTAGTGTATTTATAGTATATTAATATCTTTCTTTAATATTGATTAAAGATTAAATAATATATAGAATATAAGAAAATAACTACGTTCGAACTTAGTATCGTTGTTCAAAAATAATCTTATTCGTACAAAGTATTGCGCAGCATAGAATAATATAAGAATTATAAAATTAAAAAAATAATAAAAGAATTATAAAAATTTCAATATTTGAAATTTTTTTTTACAAACATAAATTTAATAAAAAAAAATAGTAATAAATATAATATTTATATGACAGTTGATAGAAATAATATTTAAACCTTCTTTCTAGAAATTAAAATTGAACAATTTTTAATGTTTATAGAAAATGATGCGCATAAAGTGGATTGAAAATATGTTAGAACTCAAGAGTAAAAGAACATTATTAGAAAAAAGGTATATTTTTAATTACATAATGCGTTTTTTTTTCATATTCATTCTCAAATTATTGTAGAAGGTTAGAAAAAATTAGAAAATAAAAATATTTTTTTATCTCATTCTTTATCTTTTTCTTATTTCATTTACTTAAATATTTATTATATTATAATTAACTTACATTTATTTTGAAATTTTTATAGAAAAATTGCTATATTTTAGATATGTTTTTCCTCAAATGTGTTCTACCTTAAGATATAGTATCTCTTCAAAGAAAAATGACACAATTAAAAATAAAAATGATGTTGATGATGATGATATTGAAAGAGCAAAGCCTATAAAATATTCAACATCTAAAGCATCAAAATTTCTTTCTGGAGATATATCAAAAAATTTTCCACCATATCAAGATACAGTTATAGTAACATGTCTTGCTATCTTTTTATTATATTTTTGTGTTTTGAGAGAAGAAAATGATATTGATGATGCTATGGTAAAGAATATACCACCAGAAATTTTAGAACAAGTATATGGAAAACAAAAGGAATAAAGGAATGTTAAATAAATTTCTAAAATTGTAGATTATTTATATTTCATAAATATAAAATGTATTTTCCTGATTAATAAAATAGAATAGAAAATTCATTCATTATAATGGATATAGTAATTCACCCCATATTATGTTATTTATTATCTTATTCCATTCTATAGGTGGATGATAAATAATTGTATCTGGTATACATTTATTCCATGTATAATTCCATGATGCAACTACCAATGTCATTATTAATACTATTGGTCCTTCAGTTCTATGCGAATGTATTTTAATATTAACAGTACCTGAAATAAATAATATATAAATCATCAATAATCATATAATATATAAATAATTCAATAATAAATTAATAGTAAATTTACTTACTGCATGTACTATAAGAGTGGAATAACCATTTAAAGAAAGCATATACAGGCATAACTTGAAGATAAAATTTCATTCTTGTTAATAAACCTCCAAAGCTAATTAATACTAATCTCAACTATAAAATAAATTTATTAATTATTGAATTGTAAATATAATAAAAATTAAAATAATTATTGTATACCATTGTAAAAACTACATAATAAACCCAAGTTGTTGGCATCAGAAACAATAAAATAGTAAATAATAAAGTTCCTACAAAAAGTTGATCAGGTTGATATTGACAAGAATCAATTCTTTTTCTTAATGGATTCTTCTTTTTACCCAAAAATAATCGAAACAAAGCAGTAATACCTTTTAATTGAATATTGAAAAGTCTAAATAAAAAATTAAGTTTTATTATACAAATTATATTTTTGCAATATTTATAATTATTTTACAGTACCTTGCTGCATATACATAGATACAATATGCATGAAAACTGACAAGTGCTAAAAGATCAGCTGCTATTGCTATTTGAAACGTAATACCAAGTCTTCCAAATAGTACTAATACTTCAAATGTAAAATCCATTACAGGTTTCATAAATATTAAAAATGTCCACCACATATGTATGTGATATAAAAAAAATTTTCCAAGCATATTGTTTAAAGCATGATTTAATTTTAAACCAGCTGGTACACCCATTAACCAATTAATTAAATCTTTCAAGAAAGTTACTACTTTCTGTAAAATATTTGTATATTAAAATATTACATTTGTCACCAATTTAATATTATTAGTACAAGTATTATTTTTAGTGTATATTTCTAATTTACCTCTGCATTATTCAAAAGTATCTGAGAAGGAGAAGTATATTCAAAATAATATAACAATAATTGTAATATAGAGATTCCCAACAACATATCTATTATCAGTGCAAAAACATAGTTACCAGTTTTCAATGTAAACTTTTTGTTTTTTATTACAGTTATCAACATCCATTTTGCATTTTCTAACCATCCATTAACATGTAAACCAAGAAAAGAATATCTTAAAATTGGTAATAATTTGTTGGTTATTTTATTAAGAAAAAGAATTGGATAAAAATATAAGAACATATGATACACAAGTATTATTTCTTTTATATAAGTACATTTTCCTTTCTTCTGTATTTCTTTTTCAACTTGTTTGTCTTGTATAATTTTCATTAACTCATAAAAGTGATCTCCATATATTGCCCTTTGAGTAAATAATTCTGTTTCTTTAAAAGCTAATTGATTATATATTATAATAACTACATGATAATGTAAAATAGAAATTTTTTTATTGTTTAGAATAATACTTCTTAAAATGTAATCGTAAATATTGTCTTTAGAAGATATAGGATTCAAACATATATTAAGCCAATCTAAATATTTTTTATCCATATGTTCTTGTTTGTCTTCTGTACTAGAATAATATCCAATTATATTGGCATATTTCATTGTTTCAAAATTATTTATTTTACATATTCCAATAACATAAAATTTTTTAACTTCGTACTATCATCATATACTACTTTACCAAATATATATCCAGCTTTTTCTTTGTAAAGTGTGTTTGGTAAAAATATTAATAGACTTTTCATCATAGTATTTAACTTTTTCACTAATTATAAGTTATATATTGTTCAATGAAATAAAAAAAGAAATATTTTTCATGAATTTATATTAACACATATCAAAAATTATATGTAATTTTTTAATTTTTATCTATATTTTATCTATATATTTTCAGTTGATTTTTTTTCATAATAGTTAAAATTAATGCTTCAAATAAATATTGAAAGATATAAAATATTACTTCTATTTCTTTTCTTTCAACTATATAACTATATCGATATTATTCTTTCAAATCATGTATTGATGATATGTTGACAAGCAGTCAGCTGTTTCCGGTTTGCAAATATACAGGTGACTCGATAGAAATCTGTGAAAATCCCGGCTAATTAATTTTAATTAAATAAGCGATAGTGGACAGACAACATCGAAGTAAATAACGAGTGTGTGACGAAGCTTTAATGTACGGTATTTTTCTCTCTTTAATTTTATTTTCGTTTAACGGATAATGTTGAAGGAAGAACTTGAATCAAGCACGAGAAATGGTGATAACTCGCACACGACTATACCGGACTCAGGAAGTAACGACGTGGCCAAAGAGTCGTATCAGAAGATCGCGATAGAAGAAAGATTGGCAAGCAAAATGTTTTCATACGCTAGAAAAATCATTCGGTTTTTCCTTGCAATTATTTTTACGACTCTAGCTGCTCTACATAGTTCGTAAGTTTTAGGTTATAATAACTTTTAAATATAAAATTTATTAATATTGAATTATACGATACGATATTATTTTTTCATTATAATATGATTTTTTAACACTATAACAGATGTTCCATAATTTAAAAATACAGTTTTATAAATAAAAATAAATTATATTTGTTAAACAATAAGATATTGTATGCATCATTATTGCATGTATTTTATTATACAACCATAATTTTGTTGCAGTTCTCCCAAAGTATCAAAGCCTCCATTAGCTAAACCATTTTTTAATCAAAGCTCAGTTGTCTTAGATTTTTATAAGGGACATTTAGGAGCTATGATAGAAAGAGTTACAGAAGCAGATTTCAGTTTTGTTATGTATTATGCTCCATGGGATGCTGAAAGTCAAACTATACGACAAGAATTTGAAATAGTTGCTCAATATTATCATTCACAGGTATTAAATATAATTAAATCTATAATTATTTGTTAGAATATTTTATATTAGATAGTGAAATTATCCTGTAAGTTAATATATCTTTATTAATTTGTAGATTTTTTTTGCTGCCATTAATTGTTGGCATCCAAGCTCAGAATGTAGAGCTCAATATAATAAAATACAAAGTTATCCAGTATTAATGCTTTATCCTTCAAGAGATTCTGGTATAGAATATAGAGGTATACGTACATGGCCATATATGATAAAATTTCTTAATACAATCATGAATCCCATTGTTAGAATAACAGATAAAGAACAATTAATGAATTTACGTGTTAATTATGATGTAAGTATAAATTAATAATTTATATTTTGAATTGCAGAAAAAATTTTTATTTATATAGAATAGAATTATTTGTTATGATTGCAGGTTGTAGTAGTAGGATATTTTAATTTTACTCGATTAGATAAAACTCCAGGTTATAAAGAATTTTATAAAGCTGCTCTACGAACATTAGAAGAGGATCCTAATAGAGAACTGGTTTTTGCCATTGTTACTAATGCATTATCTAGTGAAATAGATTATAACATTTATAAATTTCCATCTGCAAATCTATTCATGTGGAGTGATTCTTTAGTAAGTAAATGAGAAAAATTTTTATATTTGTATAATGGTAAATATATTGGATACATAAAGCAAAAACATTTGCATATATAGCACAATTAAATGAGTTTGAGAATTCAAATGTGTAGAGGTATCCAGAAGATTCTGAATGGACTTCCGAAAACATATTAAATTGGATTAGCAGTTCTATTCATCAACCAGTTCTGTGGCTGCAACCTCCTGGAGTAAAAGCATTAACATTAGCACCATATTTGAGAGAAGGACCTGTACTTTTTCTCTTCACACCTCGTAATCCTTTGCATCCTGAAAATTATAATTACAATCTGGTGCGTAAAATTTCAAAGCCAATTGTGGAATTTGAAAGATATGAAATAAGAATTACATTGATTCTCTAGATCAGAGAAATTGGATTGCAGTATTATAATTGTGCAGATAATGTCTTAGCTAAAGAAATAATTGAGCGTCTTAGTTTTAAACGACGTGTTGCTATTGCAAAACATTTGGAGCGAAATAAACAATGTGCAAAATTTTTGAAAGAAATGAAAAATCAAACAAATGAATCCACCAACAATATTTCAATTCAAAAATGGATTAATGATAGTTGCTGTGTTAATGTTGTAATGAATAAATGTTTTTTATGTAAAAAGAATATATTAGATAATGCAGAAATGGAAACATCTATTTGTAAACTCAATTCTAAAAAATTTGATCATGTTTGCAAAAGTTCAGATATTTTTAAACTTTTAGTTATGCAAAATTTACAACAGAAACGTGAAATTTGTTGTAATCAAAATCATATGACAGTAAAATATGAAGAAAGATTTAAAAGCAAAAGGTAGTTTTATTAAAATTTTTATTGAAATTATTTTTTGATTAATATTGATTAATATTTGATTATCATTATTTTTGTAGTCAAAAGTACAAAATATCAGCATTTATTACAAAGGAAGAGGACATACAGTCTGCAGATGCAATAAAACAAGCACGCTTAAAATTCAATTGTAAAAAATGGATAACTGGAAACAAATATCATCAACCTATATTTCCGCGAGATAAACTTGAACATCCGAATATAAATTTAACGAAATCAGTATGTAAAATTAACAAAACATTAACACTAATAGCAATTGATAGTTTACATTATTTTTATTTCGCGGAAGCTCTTGGCATAGATCTTTTAAAAAAGAAAGATAAAACTGCTATTGTTATATTAGATGTTGCTGTAAGTATTTGAATATATTTTTATATTATTAGATATATTATTAATTCTTAAATATATTTAAAATTTTTTCTTTTAGCATGAAAGTCAATATGTTATGCAAGAGGATTTTAGTAGATATACACTTATACAATTTATAAATAATTATACCCAAGGTTTTTTACAACGTACATTACGTTCTAATAATTCGAGACGTTTTGTTCAAAAGTTTAAATCCAAAGTTAATTGTAAAACAAAAGATGTACAAAATGTATGCATACCAGAATTAACAACTGAAACTTTTCTTAATACTATTTTAGATTCAACAAAGGTAAATTGGAAAGAAAGAGACAAATTTATTATAAAGTTAAAGAATAATATTGTAAAAAAAAAATTTAATGATTTTTCAGGATGTAGTTGTAATGTACCATTCTCCTTATTGTGCATTTTGTAGTGCAATATTTTATGTATATTTGACAGTAGCTCATTATTTGCACAAAATGGATCATCTTTTATTTGTAAGGGTAGACGGTGATAACAATGATTTACCATGGGAATATAACATGAATCGATTCCCGTCTATTCTTTTCTTTCCTGCTAAAAGGTAATTATAATTGTTGTAATATTCGTGATTATATTCCATAACAGTTTTCTTATCTTGTTCATTTTAGAAAAGAGGATAGTACGGTATATCCGTTTTCTCTGCCAATTACTATTCCGAATCTTATAAATTTTATCTTAGCGAATTTGGACGGAGATTCGCATATTGAAGCGCTTATAAATATTTGTCAATCTGGAGCCGCTGGTGTGATTCCAGATGCATGTATCGCTCGAACTCGTTGGCTGTGTTTAGATATTATTCAACAACTACTTCGAGATTATCGAAAATTAATAAGACATATTAGTCTACTAGGAAGAATAAGTGCTAGAAATAAAAAAAAATTATTTTATTAAAATTGGCACACATAAAAGATATACATTTAATATTAAGTTCTACTATTGATCTCAAAGAGGAGCAACATAAAGTAAAACTAATCAGAAAAAAATATAGAAAATATTATAAAAATATTAGATCATTTGAATTAGATAGCAAAATAAATAGTAATAATAGTCAAGTAGAAAATCTTTTTCAAGAACAAAATGTTTTTGAAAAAAATATTAAAAACGAATTGTGATATCGATTTACAGATAGATATATTACAATGAATATTATTTTATTTAAATTCTTTTATGACATTGTACTAAATGTACAATACATACCTCAGAAATTATTTTATTTCACAAATGTAAAATATATTCAGTTGAATTATATATATCATATACAAATAAGCATTATAATTTATAAAGAAATACTCTATAGCATATACTTACAAAAAATAACACAAAAATATTTAAATGACTTTAATACAAGACATTCCCTATCAAATGATGCAAAAAATTATAACATCAAATACAATTTTTATCATATTCTTGTAAAAAATGTACATTCATAATTTTTTATTTAAATTTTTATAACAATTTTGCAAGAAAAAAATATTTATACATGCTATTCAAGTAAAGATAGTAAGTCATTGATAAGACTATTTTTTTCAATGCATCATGGTTCTGTAGAGGGAGTGTACATATATTAGAATTACTCATCTTTAATTAATATTCATGATATTTAATACTGCAACTGAGAAATAAAAGTAGTACTACTGGAAGTATATATATATATATATGTATAGTAAGAAATGATATATGCTGCAAATTTTATTTTTAAAATTATTTTTTAAATTATAAGATTTAGAAATAATTAAGTTTTAGCTCTCTAAAGTATATGTTTGTGAAAGAGAAAGAGAGAGATAATTTAATTCTTCATCTGATATATATGTGATTTGCTCATACATTTAGCAAAAATGTGTGTTGTACATTCGTGTAAATATTGTTATATGCAATAATAATAAAAATATATGTTGATATATATATATAAAGATATAAATTAATTAAAAAAAAAATAGAAAAATTACGATTGTTTTTTAAAACATCGTAATCCTTTAGAAAATTTCATTATATTTTTACATTATATTTATCAAAATGTATATTTATCAATTCGTAACATAAAACTTAGAATCTATTGATTGCCGTATCACAACCTTATATGTACGAAGATCGGATTAGAGATGTGATAAAATAGCGTGGGCCGAAAGTGGTCGATGGATCGCGTAATCTTGCGTTAGTCATTCTCCCCGTTTGCCTGATTTATTTATGGGTTGGGCTACTTATTCGATGTAATGAAATTCCCAGTAAAATGACACGTGATAAGAAACTCGTTTCTTCTATCGATTTAATTACTGATCTTTGATCAATGACAGTGTATGACATTGAAAGAATTGTCAATTATTTCCACCATGTGACATAAATAAAGTAATCTAACTTGATTTATAAATTTTTTACTAATGATATAATATTTTTTTTTAAATTAATTTTTGAATTCTTTATATAAAAAAAAAACAAAAGAAGATAAATACATAAATATTTATTAATCATTTTTAGGCTTGATTATAATTAGCATTAATTATATTATATATTATATATTTTTGTATTCAAAATTTACAACCGTATAATACAATAAAAAAACAAAAAAAAATATTTGTTGCATAAAAAAGATAAAAACATAATCTAAAAAATTGAAACGAATGTCAATTATTAAGATAAAAGAAGTTAAAATAATGCCAAAAAAATAATAGAATTAATGAATTATATAATATAAACAATAATAATTATATATATATACATATATACTTATTTTTAATATATTAATTATATATTTCTAAATATAGAATATATTTTAAAAAATTTAAATTATAAACTGCTATATAAAAATCAGGTGGTCCAAATGAGAAAAGACAGGAGATGGCGTAGCATTTGATTGTGAACCTGATGATCCCACTGAAATTCTTCGCTAATCTTGAAGATAGAAGTGATTGTCAACGCCTCCTAGTGAGCAGGATTGTAAAAAGGAAATTGAAGAAACATTCATTTCTTTATAGTCTCCACTCTATATACAAGTATAACTGTATGACCGTGTGTACTGTGCCGCTGACAATGAGCCGCGGCGGTGACTGTGATAAGTGATCGCGTACCCTTCCTCGTCGCTAAACGCGTAGTGGCAGTGGAGAAAGATAGTACGTTGACCAAGAAAAGAGTCTACCTCTTGATGACTCGCGCTTTACGCAAGGCGCAACGTAGCCGGAGCTCACAATTATGTTCGATGTACCGCCCAAGTTCTACGAGCTGTGTCGCCTTTGTTTATCGTCGGACGGTGTCAAATTGTCCATATTCGAAGAGGAAGGCGCTCAGCGAAATTTCGCCGATAAGATATTAACGTGCCTCTCGATTACGGTGAGTCTCGTCAGGAGTTTTCACCGGGTCCTCGTGCCGAGACGAAGATAAATCAGACGCGACCATCTGTGGTTCTCTGAATGTGAATGTGTCTCCCTCTCTTTTACACGCAATCCTATCTCTCTTTCTTCGTCTCGCTTTCGTTTGTCTCTGTCTATATCATCTTCTATCTCTATTTCTCTTACTATCTCAAGGGTGCGTGTGTGTGTGCGCGTGCCACGGGAGAAAGTTTGGCAAGAGATGTGTCCGCGAGATAAGCCGACTCACGGGGGATTTAAAATGGCAGTGATAAGCTGTACTCCTCGCTTGTACAGACTTCACGGAGAGGGGAGCAGCTCCTTATTTAGACGGCCTGTTATCAGGTTTCACACGCGGATTCCACGAGTCGCTGTCACACTTGACTATATCCTATATATTTCTCTTTTCTTTTCATAATTTATTATTTGTTCTCATAGACGGCATACTCTTTTCTTTGGAAGAAAACTCTGCTTCCGTCCAACCTAGTTAAAAAAATCATTCGTTTTTAATATTATTTATCCTAAATTTTTATTTTAAGAGATTAGAATAAATTTTGTATTTCTTATTTACATTATAAAAAACTCTATTTTTATTTCAATAGTAGAAATCATATTTAAATAATTGATAAGAAAATATAATTTAACATATAGTAATAATTGCATTTTATTATCAGTGTTATTACTATTTTGTTTAACAAATATCGATAATAATAATAAAGTTATTTCAATAAAATTAATATTATAAGTGTAAAAAATTATGTATTAAGTAATTAAAAATGCAATGATGTAATTACATTTTATTCAGGTAAAAGATGGGGATTCTTTACCACCAATCATTTGTCACCGGTGTGTGTATAAATTGGATGTACTGCACAACTTCCGTGAAGTGTCACACAAATCTGATGTCATACTCAAACAGTACCTGGATTATGCCAAGCAGTTATCATCACATGATGATCAGGTAATCATTAAATATTTTTTTCAAATGCAATGAAAAAAGATATATTAGAATTTGTTGACGTAGGTCATCATACAATATGAATCATATCATTTTCTGGTTAAAGAGCTAGAATTAATTTAACACAGTAACATCAATGAGCAGTCATTTCATTCTAAGTAATGATGCAATTGAAAATGTGCAACATGTGATTGTAGATAAGAATGTGCTTCAGTACATGTATATTCCATATATTCTAAACACATGTTTAATACATACAGGATGATATTTATTTGCTTCTCTGCCCTGATATATCAGTAATTATATAAGATACTTCAAGGTTTCTTTTAATGCAGCCAACTTTGACCTTATCAATTTGATAATGATTACAAAATAGAAAAAAAATGCGCATAACTAATTATTTTCTTATGAATACATTCTAAACAGGTACAAGGTACAAATATCAAAATATTATATATAATCTTTTATGATAAATGAACATTTATACAAACATCAATGAATGTTTACTTATTAGAATTAAGTAATAAAAATTAAATTTAAATCTAATTTTTTTCTATTATGTTACTGATTTATACTTATTTTTAAAAATTTTATATTTTTCATTTTAACATTTAATGATTACAATGATTTGTTTTGTTTTAGAAGAAATCTTTCTCCACTGCCAAAGTAGCAGGATTAAGTCCGCTACAGTCATTTCTCCAATTGAACAAAACATTGTTCAATGAGGAGCCTAACTCTCCGGCCAGCATTAATCAAAACGTTATACCTCAGACTCAAACACATCATTTGGAGTTGTGCACCAATGACATGCCTGAACATGATAACATTAAGTGTGAACCAGAAGATGATACATGTTCAAATAGTTCTGATCCAGACAGATTAGAAATAGAAGATCGGGATGAACAAGATACTGAGGGGGAAGAAAATGGTTATGATATGACCATTAATAAGAGAATGAAAGTAGAAACAAATTATGAGGAATCAAAAACAAGTACCCCCAATCGCAGTCCAGTGAATAGAATGGATACACCAGAAAGCAATTGTTCAGACACAAATATTGATCAGGAAACAACAAAATTATGGCAAGCATTAGCAAAGTAAATACAAAATTTTCTATATATTTCTTTTGCATTTAAAAATTTTTCATATATCATTGTTCTTCTTGTATTTATTTATACAATTTCAATCTTTAAACAGATTTTTATTGTTAATTTATATTATTTCTTTACAAAATTAATCAAATATAATTTTATTTGCTTAATGCATATAAAGCAAAATTTTAATTATTAAAGCAATTTGTAACAAATCAATTCTTTTAAAAATAAAAGTTATTTTAAAGGTAACAGTATATTTGATTAATTACAGACTCATATTGCTTTTTGTCTTTTTATTGTTATATGTATATTATTTGAATATAATTTTGTTTTCATTTTTCATGTTTCAGCAATAGGAGTTTAGAGATTACCAGGACAAATGGTGACAAATTAAATAATGGATTCACTGGCGAGGCAACTAATTTGTTGCGTTCTTTAATCAACAACAGGCAAATTGGTATTACTGCAGTTGATTCTGACAGAATATCACCACAAATTAGGTTTTACAGAGATACTCAAGGGACAACAATTGAACGCACTATACCCGACTGTTCTCTACTCGGCAACCGTACTAATGTGTCGTGTATAGAAAATAAGGTTTGTATATTTTAAAATAATATTAAAATTGAAATCTTTATCAATATTTGATAAGATGAGGGCGTTTTAAAATATCATTAGGAATTTCTCTGAATTCCCCTTTAGGATTTTTTAAATGTACTTGAAATAAATCACAATTAAATATTAATAAAATATATAATGTTAATATAGAAACAGTAGTAAAAATTGATTCTTTTTTCGAAGTTGTATCTTCCAAACAAAATTCTGAGATTTATGGAAAAACGGAAAATCTGTACTCTCTTTTATGTTCATACTCCTTTGACCCTGATCTTCGTGCAAATAAAAGTTCTTCCATGGAAAGTCCTTGCAGTTTGTTCAAAGCAAATACCAGAAAAGAACTGCAGGTATAGAAAAGAAGACAGGTCAGGTGACCCTTAGGTGTCAAGGGATCCCTTTGGGACTATTCAAGTCCCATCTGCTTGCAGGTAAGAGAAACGTGGTAGGCCTTGTAGATAATAGATAACTGAGAAGTTCTTTGTGATAGCTATAAGCATTAAGTCCACCATGTCAACCCGCTGTTAACAGATGTTCAGATAAGTTAGGTTTCTATAGATTTTTAAACGCGTATTGTTCCGAATTCTCCAATTTCTTCTATAATAAGAAATAGAATTTTACTATTCTTTGTATTATTTTTTTA